ACTATTTCAACAAGTCAGCATTTCCACCAGCTCCGTGAAGAAGGCCTCCAGTGTCCCATGTTCTAGCCTGGGGGATTTATGATGTTTTTCGAAACAACCATAAGTTTCCCATTCAAATGTTTTTATCGTTGATAAAAGGAGGAAGTAATAGGCTTTGTTTCCCTGAGACAGTCAGAGGACTTGAGCGCGTTTTATGAGTAGAGGCCAGCGTTCCTTTGTGCTGCAGCCTGGCAAGGGTGGCCGACAGGCGGGCCGTTTACTCTAGCGTGGGCACGGGGGCTCGGCCAGGACGCACGCTGGGACGGTGAGGAGCAGAGTCCAGGAAAGCGTGGCCAAGGGCGGGAGCGCGAGTCCCCGGAGCCCTTGAAGACGAGGCTTCGGGGCCACCTGCTGACTCAAGTGGGAGTCGTCGCTATTTAGACCCTGTTAAGCATTTGAACCCTTCTTCGGCAAGAGTCACCCTACCTGGGCCGGTTCCCGCCCTAGTGTCTAGGGAGCCACGCTGACGCAAGAGCGGATGAACCTTCAGTTGAGAAAAGTGGTCCAGATCGTGGAGGCCAAGGCCAGGCGTCCAGGGCTCGAATGCCAGCTTTGCCACCTCTGGCTGTGGAGCCTTGGGCAGGCTACTTAACCTCCCTGTACTTCATTTCCTCATGTCTGAAATCGGACGCTCCTACCGCCAGGGTGTCGCGAGGGCTCCAGGAGCTAAGAAAGAGGAAGACCCCGGGCCCTGGTGAAAGCCCGGATGGTGACGTGGGCTCCAGTCATTGTTGCTGTAGTCAGTAGCACCTGAAGCCTCACCACGCTGCCCCCCGAGTCCTCCAGGGAAGCGTCTGAAGCCCCGTCCGCTTCAGGAGGTCTTGGAGTGTGTAGCCCTGCAGAGGGGGGAAGGGTGGGGGGCCCTGGAGCGACGTCCTTCCAGCTGCTGCGGGCCTTTGGCCTCATAAGAGGCGAGAAGCCGCCCCCCACCCTCTGCCCAGGTCCTGTTCCCAGGCTGGAAGGAGGCCACTCACACCCCGCTGTACAAGACAGGCAGCCACTTGTAGCGTCCTGACAGCCCTCAGGCACCTGGCTCAGGGAATCATAACCATGAAGATCGCGGTAACAAGTAGCAGTGAACCTGGATGACAGCGGCCCCGGGTTCTGCCTCTGGCTTCCCTGTGCCGCAGGGAAGGCCGCCGCCAGCCCCTCACGCCTCTCCTTTTGTGAGTTTCTCTGCGGTGGGAACCATGTCACCGGGGCAGCCCCTCGCCGGGGGGCTGCAGGGGGACAGGCATCGCCCGGGCTTGGCTGCTAGCTTCCAAGTGCCAGAGACACCTGCTCCCGTGTCCGTTGGGGACAGACCAAGGACAGCCTCCCGTCCGTTCTGTGGCCCCTGAGCTGAGTCCGCAGCCCAAAGCTGGCCCCCTAGGCCAACAGGAGCCGGTAGAGCTCAGTCTAGACCAGCCCTGAGCAGTAGAAGTAAACGCAAGCCCCAACTACATGTAAGCAGCCACGTTTTCTTAAAAACTTAGAAAAGAAACGGGTGAAATTAATATCTGATTTAACCCGGTATATCCAAGATGAAAAATTAGCCATGAGATATTCTGCATTTGGGGCACTAAGTCCTCCGAATCGGATGTGTATTTTACACCCAAAGCATTTCATGCCCGTTTGCGCTGGCTGCGCGTCAGAGGCTCGTAGCCACGCGTGGCTCAGTGGCTCCCGCGTGGGACAGTGCAGGCCTACACAGCTCACAGGGGACAGTGTCACCAGCACCCTAAATCCTGTGCTTCTAAGTGTTCAGATCTTCGGTGGGGCACTCTCTTCAACACTGCTTCCCCTTTGCGGTGAGGTTTGGGGTAATTTGGAGGTGTTTGTTACTAGCAGCCGATCGTCGAGGGGAAGTACGCTTCGTGCTGAATGTGCGTTTGCAGTGGTGGGGTTGCCCCCATCTCTCGTAGCTTAGATCTTTGAACCGTCTCATTTCATCCAGGGCGTGAGCCAGGGGTGACAGACTGTGAACGTCTCCAGGAGAAAATGCTCCAGCTAAATCCTAAGCCCCGTCCTCTTATTAACAGTTAAAGGCGGAAACCTTGTAAGCTCAGTGCAGGGTGAGCTGGCCGGCTCCAGGGGCTGAGCAATGCCATCGCCCAGAAACAAGCCATTGGCGCTGAGCCTCCTGCTGCCCTAAGCCTTGGAGGAAGCGTCAGGTGTCATCAGCACAAGTCAGAAGAGCTTAGTGGACCCTGAGAAGCAAGCTGGACCAAAGCTGACGAAGAGTCAAAACAAACGAAGGAACAAAAGCTTCCCCTGGGCCTGGCTGTCCGGGTGTGTGAGTCATTCTGACCAGGATCGGGGCTTCCACACCCCTGACTGCTGACACTTCTCCAAGCGGGTGGCATCTTCCAGCACCCGAGCAGGGGGTCTGGCTGGTGAGACTGCTCACGTATGTGTAGAAACAGAGCCTGGAATAAAGCGCGGTCCCCCTCATCCAGCCCCCACTGCTCTCCAGCCTCGTAATTCGCACAGCAGTGCGGGGCCTCATCTCAGCCTGTGTTCAGAACAAGCGGAAACTAAGATAGGTGAACAGCAGAGTTTTACTGTAGAGCACAGAGACCTATATGCAGTATCCTGTAACAAGCTATGACGGAAAAGAATTTTTTAAAAAGAATATAGATACATACATGTATAGATGTATAGCCGAATCACTTTGCTGTACACCTGAAACTAACACGATACTGTAAATCAACTCTACTCCAATATAAAAAATTTAAAAAACCCACTAAAACACTGATTAATGAGAACAGATTGCAGGGCCTGGTTTTAATACAGTTACAAGAACAAATTTTACTCAAGTGCTTTTGAAATATAGTTACGACAACTGAAGTGATGATTTCAAATCTCATTGAACTAATTCTCAAAGCCCTTTGATTCATAATTTATTAATCCCAGTGCGAGTGATTCCATGTATTTGAAAGCCATAAAGTGCAGTTTTATAATTTTTTTTTTTTTTTTTGGCTGTGTTGGGTCTTCGTTTCTGTGCGAGGGCTTTCTCTAGTTGCAGCGAGTGGGGGCCACTCTTCATCGCGGTGCGCGGGCCTCTCACGGTTGCGGAGCACAGGCTCCGGACGCGCAGGCTCAGCGGCCATGGCTCACAGACCCAGTTGTTCTGCGGCATGTGGGATCTTCCCGGACCGGGGCACGAACCCGTGTCCCCTGTATTGGCAGGCAGATTCTCAGCCACTGCGCCACCAGGGAAGCCCCATAAACTGTAGTTTTAAAACATGCCTGTCAATTTTCAGAGCACCGCTTGTTACCTGATTGGCTTCGGGCGAGTTCCGTAAGCTTCTTGCATCTCGGTTCTGTCCCCTAAAAAATGAGAAGAGGAATTTCTGGCTCACTGGGTTGCACACAGGGTGTGCAGAGTTATCTGAACACAGTAGGTGCTTGGTGGGTGTGTCTTTCCTCTCCCAAAGAGGAGTTCTGTTGTTCTTCTACTTGTTCCAGTCAGGCTTTGATGCAGTCATTAACCGTCTGGGGACTGGTGTGGCCGCCACCATTTCATGTCATTAGGGAATAAGTTAGAGGCCCATTTTGGTAGGGTATTTTGTGCTTTTTATGTTTTCAGGAAAGAACAAAGGTAGTCTTCAAAAGGAATTAAGGCCTCTTTGTAGGTTCCTTTGGTTATCATTTTCTTGTCAAGGAAACGAGCTATAAAGCTGCCAGATGGAAACACGCGCCCCCTTGGTCCTGCCCACACCGGGGTACGTCAGAGGAGTGTGCATTGCTCGTGCCACGGGGAGAAATACTCGGAACACGTTAAAGGAATGAGAGTGGGCAGACACACAGGAGGTTAGCTGATGTCCCAGGACGTTTAATGAGACATAGGGGCCATTTGGAAGATACCCTAGAACACCCCAAAGTCCAGTTTTTCTGCAGAATGGCAGGTGACTGTGCTGAGTACCTGTTCGTTACATCCTCGCCCCGAATTCCGGGGCAGATCCTCGGATCTGGAAAGTGGGTGCCTTTGGCACACGGCCTACCTGGGATGCAGCCGCTGCGTTGTGATAAGTCTCGCCTCTCGGAAATCTGAGTCAGTATCACCCCCTTCCACGGGGGGCGGCGGGGGGAAGGTGCGGAGCCCCCGTAGCACGTCTGAGAGTCTCAGAGGGGCAAGGTCCCGGGGCCCATCCCCAGCTGCAGACAGCTCGTTTCATCGATTCCTCCCCCGACCCTGATTTTACTGACGTATCTAAGGCAAATCTAAGATACCACGTGGGCCATTTCACCCCCAAATCCTTCATCTCTCACGCACGCCACCCCTGCATACGCCCCCCTCTAACTGAAAAGGACCCTTCGTAACTAATCATCGGACCGTTTATCCCACGTGACGACATTAGCAACGATTCCCACAGCATCATCTAATTCAAGGCCGTATTTTAATTTTCCCAATTTCTTTCTGCGTTGGGGTGGTTTGAATCAAGATTCAGACGAGGTCCAAATCTTACACTTGATTACTGCGTTTTTTGTCTCTTTCAAAAACATTTCAAAACGTCAGTCCCTCAGCAGATGCCCTTGGGCGGGTTGTGCAGCCCAAGGAAACCAGCATGTTTCCTTTAGTCTTTCGTCCTCCTCACATCATCCTTCAGCAAAATTCTGTAACATAGTTTGATCGTCTTATTTATCAGACCTTTGCTCTGAATGACCTCGGGCTTTTTCCACAAATGAAATCCACCTCAGTGCCCAAATCATTTTCACCCAAGAAGATCAGTAAATCTACCTTCCAGCAGTGCCGTGGCATCTCCCGGTGGATTCAGAAGAGAAATTCCAAAATCATGGGGCGAGAGTTCTCTGTGTGTCTGATTCGAAGGGTCCCCTTCAAAACCCAGCGACAAATGTTACCATCACCTCATTTGCATGAACGGAGTGTGTAAATGACTACACGCTTGACTTCCCTGTTCCAACACAGGCTTTCTGATTGGCCACTAAATGTAGTCGATGTGTTTGTTTTCACACAGATAATCGCTTATCAGCCGTATGGGAAATCCGTGGACTGGTGGGCCTACGGCGTCCTGTTATATGAAATGCTGGCCGGGCAGGTAATGTTTCCCTGTGTTTTCATGCTTGTGTGTCGCCCCGTAACATGAAGGCTCAGCTCTGTGGGGACCACGACAGCAGGACCTGGCCGTGTGGAATGGCCGGTGCTGGTCTGACTCCCCTGATCCTGGTGAAGGAGGGAGAAATTGTACAGAAATGCTCTTCTAGTCCTAAAAACCCGAATGGAAAGCTACACCCTGGAGCGTGGACCATACAGCTTTTGCATCACCCGCCAAAGGTCCCTGCACCTTGAGGACAGTGGTGGCCTTTTGTTTTCGGTGTCTCAGCCCTTGGGTGGGATTGGCCTTCACCGCACGTTTCTCTGCAGAAATCACCCCGGCCGCTCCCGGGTGTAGAGGCGGTATTATTGTAAAGGAAGAAGTTAGTTAAACTGGAAGGAGTGTTTTAATAGCTTCTCCCGTCTGCCCTTCTCTCTCCTTGGGCAATTCATTGTAATTTTCACAAAAGCCCAGCGAGGCTGAACTTCCGGTTAAGAAAAGGCAGATTAGGTTTCCCTTGGCTGTGTGACGTGTCAGGTGACCAAGGGCATCGCTGCCTAATGGGGCACTTTCTAAGGTGGTGGCCTTAGTATCTGTGTTACTAGGGTAAGTCACACCCGCTGCTGTTGACAAACAGCTCCCACCCCCAAATCTCAGTGGATTAAGAATGACAGCAGTGCATTTCACACATTTCAGATCTCTGCCATTGTACCTACTAATGATTCTGTCGTGGGCAGCTTTTATTAACTCTCAGCCCTCAAGTGTGCCAGGGAGTGTGCCCCTCCCTGGCCAAGAGCCTTTGTAAGAGAGAATGCAAAGAAACACCCACGTCGAGTAGCAGAGCTGCCCCCAAAGAAATCTTTGTTCCTGGGGAGAAGTCACCCTTTCTGACATGTTACATCCATTGACTCATTTATTATTCATTCAGTGCGTACTTACTGAATGTGCGTGGGAATGGCTGTGAGCAACACAGACAGAGACCCTTCCCTTCAGTAAGGTTACAGTCCAGAGAAAGACAGTAGACAGGCAGATACGGAAATGATGTGCGGGCCCCTCCTCGGCATCCTTGGGAACTGGTTCCAGGACTCCCACGGGTAAACCAGAGTCCTTGGAGGCTCAAGTCCCTTGTATAAATGGTGTGGTAATTGCGTGTAACCCAGGCGCATCCGCCCGTGCACTGTACATCATCTTGCTATTACTCAGTATACCTAACACAATATAGATGCTGTGTACCTAGTTGTAATTGCAGTGTAAGTGTTATTTACGTGTCTGTTGGTATGTGGCAGATTCAAGTTTCGCTTTTTATTTATTTATTTTATATTTATTTGGGACCACACCGCACGGCTTGTGGGATCTTAGTTCCCCGACCAGGGATCGATCCTGGGCCCTCGGCAGTGAAAGCGTGGAGTCCTAACCACTGGGCCGCTGGGGAGCTCCCAAGTTTTCATTTTTGATCTGCAGCTGGTGGACTGTAACAGTGATAAGCCAAGGAGAAGAGTAACAAAGCAGAAGGACGTGGAGTGTTGGGGGAGGGTTGAAGTTTCAGCTCGGAGCGCCAGGGAGGGCCTCACATAGAAGATAAAGTTAAGACCAGAAGGAAGTGAGAGGATGTCCACGTGCACATTCGGGGGGAAGAGCGTTCCAGACAGAGGGAACAGCCAGTGCAAAGGCCCTGGGGTGGGAGTGCACAGCTTTACACTTAAGGGACGGACAGGAAGCCGCCCATGTGGCCGGAGTGGAGTGAGCTAGAGACGGAGTAGGAGGCTGAGATCAGAGAGGAAGAGAGGGCACCAGGCCCCGGGCCGTGGAGACCATCGCGAGACCATTGGCTTTCCCTCTGGGCTGGGAGACCCCCGTGGTCTCTCCTTTCTCTCTTTCGTTGTGTCTTACATCATATAGATACTAAAGTTGTCTTTTAAGTATTAAAAGATGAGGTTCCACCTATATTTGGTCTTTATTTCTCAATGATGTTGAGACTTGATATTTAAAAAGTGGTTTGTGTATTATTTATTTAGGTTTCTTCCGTCAAGGAACCATTCTTCTTAAGGCTATATACTTCCGTGTGCAAACACAGAAAAGCCAGTTCCGTAGAACCATTGTCAGCGAGACAGCCGCTGGCAGAACACAGATCGCCTGCACCTTAAGTTAATTTCCCCTCCTTGGCATTTTGACAGTAAAATTTGACTGAATTGTTTGCCCCCGTGGGAGCTATCTGTTCGCAGAGGCGCAGAAAGCTGAGTTCCCCTCGAGACCCCACTCAAACGTTCTGACTCTGGAGTCCAGGAAACAAGCCCTGCTTTCATTCAGAGTCACATGGAAATGGCGACACTCCTTAAATACGGCATTTGAAAAGCATCCCACGTTGGGATGCAGTGTCGTCGGGCCCAGCTGCGGTCCTCTAACTCTCCACCGCGCCTGCCACAAACGGGGTTTTCATTTCAGAACCCCCTTCTTAAGTCCTGATGACTCCTCAGGGCAAATTTAAACATGTTCCTGGGCCGTGACTCAGCCCAGAAAGGATAGTGAAGGCTCTGCTCAGATCACGCCCACAAGCTACAGGGAATGGATGTCCTTATTGAAAAGGGAGATTAATTATCAACTTGTCGATGGGGTTGAGGTCTCAGTGTATCCTCTGTAATCACAGAGGGCTGATGTTGAGCAGGAAGAGAAGACAGTTTATCGCAGTTTTCTTCTCGTTTGCTTTATTTCCTGTCCGCAGGCAGGGGGGCAGTGGAGTGTGAAACACCCTGAGTCTTCCTGCAGCTCCTGGATCGCTTGACAAATAAGATTACGTTCGAGCATAAATCGTATTTACCCGGCCCGGTAACGAGCATCTTGCTGCTCAGAGCGTCTGGGCGTTCGTCACAAAGCACCCAGCCCTCTCCTCTTATGTGCCTTCCCGCCAGGGTCACTTATGCTTGGTCTCCATTCCTGGTGACTCGGTAACGAGTCCTTTATCCCAGAACTGCAGCCAGAATTGTCCCTGGGTACTCCCCCCCCACCCCGCATCAGTGATCTGTACGTGACCATGGCAGGGCCCCCGTGACCACTGACTAGTCAGTGATTCCGGAACCATTCTGGGAAGCGTGAACCTCACCCCTCACTTGCCTATTTAAAATCCACAAATTACACATCACCAAGGAGAGCACTCCCCGTTCAGACATTTTTTTACACCAAGCCAGGCCTTTAGTTAGCAGGTAGCTTAGCTTGAAACAGTGAGTCCAGATCTGTAGAAATCTAAAACTGTAACACAGGGATGGGGGAAAGAGGGAAGGGAAGCCATCCAAAATGGTCCTGTATGCGAGGACTGCACCGCACGTCACCCCTGGGTCCCCAGGCTCCGTCGCTGGGGGGGAAGGTGCATGTGACTGTAATGCTCCACCGTTGACCGGCCTTCAGCACCCGGGCCTGAGAGCAAGCAGTGACCTGGGAGGGTGCTCCCGGGGTGACCTGGAGAGATTGACCGGGAACCATCGGAATGTTCACATCATCCCACACCTGGGAGTTATTCTTAGGAAGTCAGGGAGGAAACAGTGATGTGCACAGAGATGTTGGTAGAAGTGTCAGTTATTAGAAGACAACGCTGGAAGCAGGTATATATGTGCCCTGGACGCACGAGTCCATCTCCGACGATGTGTCACCTCACGGCGTTAGCCTGACCGGGAGCACGGGTAGCTACAGAGAAACTGGGGGGGGGCAACAGCCAGTGAAAAGCAAGGAACTCCACACTATACGTCGTGATTTGAAAATAACTGCCTGTTTTGCAGGCGTCACGGAACAGGTGCTCAGGAGAAGTAGGTTGATGCTGTCAGGCAGAGAAGCGGTGGGATGGGCAGGGGGACCGGCCTCCGCGCTGGCCCTTGGCCAGTACCAGCATCGGCACCCTGCACCCTTCATTGGGCACTCACTGGGCACGAGACAAAATCTCAGACACTTTAGACTCACCAGGGAGCCCTGTTTTACAAATTGGAAAACTGCGAACGAAAGAGGTGGGTCACTGGCCCATGGACACCCAGCCAGGAGGCGGCAGGGCCCGCGTTCTGACCCAGAGCCACCTGGCTTTAAAGCCGTGAGCTGTCCCCGTGCTGCCGTGCCCCCCACTGTCCAGGTGGGGATTGCAAACGCGGTAGAAGAGGACAGAGAGGTGCCCAGGGGATGGCAAGCCCCCGTCACCGCCGCCGTGCCGGCGGCAGGCCCCCGACAGAGCAGAGGGCCCGGGTGTGGATTCCTGGGCCTGGGGAGAGCCCTCTATGCCCGTGTTCTGCGTCCCCTTCACCCCAGGTTCAGAAGCCAAAGGCATCCGCCTTCTCCACCCTCGCGCACCTTCTGAACGCAAGGCCATCTGTAACCTCACTTGATCGTAGTGAGATTGTTTAACACGTAATTACAAGATTAATGGGTTAATTGTAACTTATTTGCAAATCCTTAAAAACATTACTCAAAAACACCTTCCCTGAAGAGTGTTTGGGGTTGCCCAGAGTGAGGCAAGGGACAGAGGAGAAAATGAAAAACACACCCGACCGCCAACCTGATGAAAGACAGCCCGCGAGGTCATCGAGCTAAGCCTGCAGCCTGCCGCGTGCATGTGGGAGAGGCCCGCTCTGTTTCCCGGTGCTGGGTTGGGTGTGCGGGCGCCGCGGCGAGGTGTGGAATCGCTCAGCCTAGCGCCCCCTCCCCCTCTCTTCCGGCGCAGCCTCCGTTTGATGGCGAGGATGAAGACGAGCTGTTTCAGTCCATCATGGAGCACAACGTCTCGTACCCGAAGTCCTTGTCCAGGGAGGCCGTCTCCATCTGCAAAGGGGTAGGTAGGCTTGGGTTCCTTTGGTGGCCGTGGACAAGAGGGTCCATTGGGGAGATGCCATCCAGACGGTTCTAAGAGGCACTGTGGGGGGACCACATGCCCACGCCACTGGGTTTGCAGTTAACTCGTCACGCTTTTTTTTTTTTTTTTTTGCGGTACGCGGGCCTCTCACTGCTGTGGCCTCTCCCGTTGCGGAGCACAGGCTCCGGACGCGCAGGCTCAGCGGCCATGGCTCACAGGCCCAGCCGCTCCGCGGCATGTGGGATCTTCCCGGACCGGGGCACGAACCCGCGTCCCCTGCATCGGCAGGCGGACTCTCAAGCACTGTGCCACCAGGGAAGCCCCAACTCGTCACCCTTCTTGTGACAGCACTGTTTTTTCCGAACCATGAGTCTCTGAGGGCATCTTGGTCCGGGCAGTAAATAGGCATGTGCTGCTTGTTATATAGCATCCTGTGTGATACTGCCTGTGATACTTCCGGCACACACGGTTTTTAGCAATTGCGTGCCCTTTTACGTACGTGTTCTTAATGCACATAGAGAATGGCAGCTCCTGAAACAGTATATAGAGACGGCTACTTAAATTCTTGTTGTGTTTGCTGTGGGTCCAGATTGCTTCCCCGTTTCCTTATCACAGAAATCACTGTAGAAAGGCCCACTCGTGTCCCCATTGTGTGAGTTGGCGTCACTCAGAGCATCCTAAGACGTGGTCCAGGCATCCCTGCCGTCAGGGCTGGGGGCAGCGCAGCAATAGAGCGGGCGCTGGACCTGGCATTCCCTTTTCCCCTGGTTTTTGAGGGGGTCTTTCTGTTTCTCTTTCTTTTTTTCTCAGCTTTATTGAGGTGTAATTGACAAATAAAATGGTAATATATTTAAAGCACACACTGTGATGGTTTGATGTATGTGTACAGTGTGAAAGGACTCCCACAGTTGAGTTAATACATCCGTCACCTCACATCACCTTTGTTTTTTTGGTGAGACCGCTTCTGTCCTGCGGTCAACGGACTCAGTTGTACTATCCAGGACTGTCAACTGCAGTCACCAGGTTACCATGCTCCACGTGAGAGCTCTCTCTCCTCCCACTTTCTAGCTGATGACCAAACACCCCGGCAAGCGGCTGGGCTGCGGGCCCGAGGGAGAGCGGGACGTGCGGGAACACACCTTCTTCCGGAGGATCGACTGGGAGAAGCTGGAGAACAGGGAGGTCCAGCCGCCCTTCAAGCCCAAAGTGGTGAGTCGGGGCCGCGGCCGTTTCCCGAGCCCTGTTTCCCCCGATCCCGGGGGCTTTGTCGGCAGAGAGGGGGCTGCTGACCACCGGCCTCTGCAGGCCCCAGCCTGGCCCTTGCGCGCGAGGTCTGAGCTGACCTTGAGCGTCAGGGGAGCCTGTGGCACCTGTGCCCCAAAGAGGGCAGCAGAGTCCCCCGGATGACGCGAGGACCGGGGCAGGTCGGCTTCGGGGCCCGGGCCTCGTGCGCCCCACGTGGCTGTCATCCTTGCGCTGAGTCCTCGGCAGGACCCCCGTCCGCTGCAGCTCTCCTGGCTTGGCCTCGCCCGACGGGAGCCCTGCAGCATAACTGGGCCTCAGCTGGCCCCCGGCGGCCCGGGCGCGGTTCCCACGCTGGCCAGCCCTGCCGCGGGGGCTGTGTGCCCGCTGGCATCGCCGGCACTGCTGCCTTTGTTCAGACACGTCCTGTCTGACTTCTGGAGTCTCCCGTTTGTTTGGGGTTTGGGGTTTTTTTGCCTTTATTTGGCAAACACTACGCCCCAGGCCCTCCCTGCTCTCAGTGCTTTACAAATTCGTTCATTAGCCCTCACAGCGACCCTGTGAGGTAGCTACAGTTGTCCCCAGTTTACAGTTGAGAACCCTGCGGCACAGAGAGGCTGAGTCACTTGCTGGAGGACACACAGTGGGTGGTGGAACCAGGGTGCAGACTTCGGTGTTGTGGCCCGCGATCCTTTCCCCACTGCACAGTGGCTCGTCTTCACGTCTATGCCTCTGGAGATAAACCGAGGGTCTGTAAGACGTCTGCCCCCTCACTCACCCCACCTGCGGCCCTGCCGTGCCTCCCAGGCAGTCCCACTTTGCCCCGCACCCCGTTTCTGAGGGCCGGGTGGATCCATGCCTTCCGGCTCCGCCCCGTCTCGGCCAGGATGGGGTGGGCTCCCGAGAGCACCGGGTAGCAGCTTTGCACCACAGTCGGCTTCAGAAGCACCCCCAGTGGTGACGCGGCCCAAATCTGTCTCGTCTGACAGGTGCCCGTGAGCTGGCTAAGGGGACCCTCCCGGGGCGCTAGGGCACCGGCTGGGCGGCTCAGGGCTTATTCTTAGAGCGGCAGCTTTCTCATCCAATGTGCTTATGTGGCCTCTCCTCCTGCTGGTGGCGAGCCCACGGATTTTATTTTTCCAAGATACTTTTAGCACAAACCGAAGAAAACCTAAAATGAATCGGGTCAGTTGACTTCCTCCTGAGTTGGCGTTTCAAGGAGGGGCCTTATGTCTCCTCTGCGCCGTCTTCTCTGCAGCCAGTTCTGGGCCCTGAGTCGGGAGGCTCTCCTAGGAGAGGATGCCGGCCCTCCAGGTTACAAAACCTGGTTTTAAGAGGGAGGAAGATGAAGACAGTGATAAGTGGCGCTGCCGGCGTCTCAGAGGAATATTGTTAGGGATTTTCTATCTTCCCTTTCATATCTCTTTAGCCTTCTTAAGTTAAGTATGAAAGGTGTACAGTAGCAGCCTACACACAGCTTAGTTTCTGTACAGGAACAACGTAGAGACGCACGCTGACCCTGCTCTGCCTGTCGAGCAAAACGCAGCTACTTGTCAGTCACGTTGCAGAAGGAGGCTCCATGCAGCGAAGTCAACCGTGATTTATCCATCTTCCTTTTCTGCTTATTCCTGCCTCACTGGCAGAAGAAGTTGTGTCTTCTCATAGCTTCCCACCTATGGCAACGGTGGCCCTGAACTCAGATGAGGGGAAGCCAGAGGGCCCTTGGCTCCGACAGCCAAGAATGCACCGTTCCCCGTGGGCCACAGAACTCACTGGACCGCATGGTCACAGCCCGTGGCAGGCAGTTGAGCCGGGAGCTGGGTCTGGGGCGGGGAGTGTATTTATTTATTCCTGGAACGCTGCTGCTGTCTGGTCATCGTTCAACCGAGTGCTGGTTAAATTTTTAAAGAAGAATAAACTGCATCTGGCTGTGAAGAAACAGCCCCCGAACTCACAAACAGACGTGGAAATCATGGACCAAGGCCCTAAAACGGACGGATTCGTGCGAAGGGCCTGTCTGGTGAGAGCTCATCTGCTCGCGGTGAGATGGCCCAGGCAGAAACCCACGTTGTGCTGGGGAGTCTGGACACAGAAAAGGAAGAAGCTGGGAGAAAATGCAGAAGGACAGGGGATGGGAGAGGCGGGAAGCGGAAACCACGGTGGGTGCGAGCGGCCACGGGAACAAGCAGCAGACTTTTTGTCCCAAAGCAGAAGAGCGTCAAGGGCATGGGGACAGGTTGGAGGGTTCTGGCCCCCAGAGAGTTCATCCCTACAGCAAGCCCCCTGCACGGCCGCAGAATGAGGCCCTTATCTCAGGAAGGGGCATCTCAGCGGTCTCCCGGGACACTGCGCTGGGGCGGCAAGACCACGTGCCAGGAGCAATAGTGGCCGTTCCCACCTGCAGGAAGCAGCGTACGGCACGCTGCCGTCGAGGCTGCCAGACACGTGGGGCTTGACACGGCAGCAGCAGAGGAGACCCGACGGCCTCTGAGTTACTCCGCGAGAGGGGTTCCCGGCTTTCTCGGGGGAAAGTGTAGTTCCGTCACCCAGAGCCAATTACAGAGTCAAAAGAGTTTCTAGATAAAACCCGGAGCTGCGTCCTCTCTGGCGGGCAGCGTTGTTGTTTAGAGAGAGATGCGGTGGCACCAGCCTGGCTTTCGCTGCTGAGAAACCCGTCAGGCAGGTGTTTCTGCCAGAGGCTCTTCCTCCGCGCGTGCAGTGAACCCGACGCTGAGAGCAGCTCTCCTCCTCTGAGCAGTGTTTGTAGCCCTGGCTGGCTACCGTGTCTGTCTGGGTGAAGTCTGCTCGATGCGTTTGTAGCAAGTGCTGGGGAATCAGTTTCCCTGAGACTTATCGTATTAAGGACCGTTGGCCCCTGGCTCCCGCGAAATCAAGGCCTTGGTTACTGTGAACACCAGCAGCAGGTGCCCGCGGTTGTCGGGAGATCAGGCTTGCCTGTAAGCTTGGGAGTCTCATGTTTGTTTTAGTTTTTACGTTCGTTTTGGACCCTCCAGTGAAAGTTTTTGCAGCGTCACTGACTTCCCTCAGCTGAGCTACCGTACCAGTGGGCAGCCAGCGCTTCCCTGGAGGGTCGGGGCTCCCACGGTGCCCTGGCTCTGCTCACCTTCCCGTCTCCCAGAAGCTGCAGCAACGTGCTGGCAGATGTGGGCTCCACCGTCCCGGTGCATGGCGCCACGCACTGGGTCCGCGAAGAGGCTCCAGCAGAACGTTCCATCCACGGCAACATTAAGGGTGGGTCTGCAGTGCAGTGGCAGCCTGGGTTCTGTTCAAGGCCGCACGTGAAGGAGGGCGGGGAGAGGGGTGACAGTGTCAGGCGGGTGGAACTGTGGCCTTCCCCCCGAGGGGGGCGAGTCTGGAGGCTCAGGGGTGCACCAGCTCCAAGAGGGAGTCGGGAGCCTGCCCTGCGGCCCCCCACGGTGGGAGAATCCGTGGCCCGTGTGCGACTGTGAAGGTGAAGATGATTTGCTAGGAAGCGGGCCCATCCTCGCGTGCTGGTTTCTTTGGAAAAACCGAAGCCAAAGGAAAAGCAGACGGCTGTGCTGTGATGCTCTCCTGGAGAGTGTTAGCAGCTCCGCAGCGTCCCTTCCTCCCTGTGGAACAAAAGCACAAGGCAAGCTGGTTTCAGTTTTCTCTTTACTTGCCTCTCTGTGAAGGAGGAGGTCCCACGAAAGGACGATGGCCCAGCGTCCTGAGCACCCCCCGCAGAAGGAAAGCTCTTCCTGTTTGCTTTTCCTGAAACCATAGAAGGCCTGCATCTTACTCCCTGCAGGCTGCCCTCAGAGGCACACGCAAGCCGGAGATCCTGAGCCGGCCGTCACTCTGAATTTTGTAGGCGTTTGTCCTGATTTATTATTCATGTGAATACAATGCCCAAGAAGAGCCTTCGCGTCTCCGTTCAGCCCACCCACGAGGAATGACAGTCTCCGCAAGCGTCGGCAGCAGAGAGGCAATTGGTGCTTCCCTTTCTGGATTCTATCCATTGGCACCAACGAGCAGAAGAGCTAGTTCACAGGCCGGCCAGAAGCGCCCCCTGTGCTGAAATGGTTGTTAGAAATTAATCTACGAAGTGAACACTGAGGAGTGTATCCAGGATTGATGGGTGAGCAGAGCACTTTAGAAATAGGCATGTCTATCTCAGGTAGGCTTTCTTGGGAAATTGCTGCCGTTATTTTATCAAAAAGAGAAAAAGGAAGAGAAGGACTTTCCTCGGGTCTGCGGTGAGATGCACGGTCAGGTTCATTTTCCTGATGGCCTCAAAGCCCTTTTTCTCACAGGGTCATTAGTTTGTTTAGATAGTTTGATGATGGTTTGATTATCAAAGTTAATGCAGTATTCTCTTTAATATTTTTTATTTATTTTGAAATAATTATTAATTTCAGACTTGCAGAAGAGTTGCAAAGGCAGTGTAAAGAATTGCTGCATCTCCTTCACCCACATTCCCTCAGTGCTACCATTTCAGCACATTCCCTGTGCCATTCTTCCTCTGCACCTCTGTGAGGGCGTGTAGGCAAGGACACACATGTACATATTTTCTTTTCTGAACCATTTGAAAGTAAGTTGCAGACTTACACCTAAATAATGCCTCTTTACACCTAAATAATTCCATGTGTATTTCCTAGAACTAAGGACATCCCATGGCACTGTATTCTTTTGATAATTGCTCTGAGAAGTTATTTGTACAGGGTAGCAGCTCTCCAGGTCACAGGAGAAGAAGACCCTGGAGTGGACGGCAGCCTCGGGTTCTCCCAGGTGGCAGGTGGGGTTCATCCTCTTGACCTTTCCGTGGAACCAAAGCAGTGATGCTAATTAAAATCAAGATTCTCAAGGCTCAGGGAGCTTCTCTGACAACATACGGACACTAACCAGCCTTGGGCGGCTAGATAATCTGCCGTATTATGATGTGGGAGTTAAGCCTTGGAACCCACGTAAGAGCACCTTCTCCTTGG